GCGCTGCCTGTAATGCCTCTACCGTTGCCTTGACGAGGCACGAGAATGTGCAGCAGATGCAGCTGCCGCAACCCCCCATGGCAAACAAACTTCACTGTGCTGCTGATTACGGCTTGATGGTCGTGAACACGCCGCTGCCCTGGCCCAATCGCTTCACCTTGTATGCCGCCAGGAAGTAGTTGGCCCAGACATGGTTGGCAGTGTCGACCTCCTGTGTGGGTGCATGTTTGCGTGTGTGAGAACAGGTGTGTGTGCGCGCGTGTATGTGTGCGTGCATGTGTGCACGTGCTGAGTTGTGAGGACATGGGAAGATCAGCGGTGAGCTCTTCAGCGCCACTACGCATTCTGCCGCGTCCATCAAATCAAGGGCCGCAGCCGACTGTTGGTGAACGCTGCCCAAATGAAGACCTGACGCTGACCACAGCCTTTGAAAGCCGTGCACGGCCGGCCGACGGGCGCCGCTCGCACCTGCAGGCAGTCCCGGCCGCCCCTGTTGGCCGGCCGCAGACCGGCCTCCTGTGCCGTTGCGAGCAACGATTCCCGCCCACCTGGTTTGGATCTACGTCATACTCCACCAGAGGGAACTTCTCCGCCTCCACATTGCCGACCGACAGCTTGTCCCCGCCCCGCGCGATCGCGACCACCGTGTCCTGCGGGCGCCGCAGGCGCAGGCAGGGCCGGCGCCGCGCGAGTGAGCGCAAACGCCGCTGCTTTTAAACGGCGCTGCTGGATTGCTGACGGAAAAGCCTCGGGTGAACGATGCGCGCGCATGTGAGAGGGAGTTGTTCCATGCAGGTCGGCGCGGGTGCCATGCGTGCCGTGTACTGGCCTTAGCCGAGGTGAAGCAGGTGCGAGCGGCGCCTTCCATCTGCGCCCCCCTTGAAAGCACCCGCTGCTCACCAACCGGAGCGCCATGGGCAGCACGCCATAGCCCTCATAGTCAATGTGCTCGCCAATGAGGTTGACCCGGCCTGGATTGGGCCCATGCAGTTGCGATCGGTGTTTGAAAGCTCGCACTGCAGCAGCCGCGCGGGACGCATGCGGCGCTCCAGCTCGCGTCATTACCTGGAGCGCGGGTGTAGAGCTCCGGTTCGACACCAAACTGTTTCCTAAAGGCTGCCGCGATCTTCTGGAGCCTGTGCGTCGCCTCAGGGGCCGCTGCGGTGCAGGATCACCAGCGGAAGCCACGTCAGACCGCGAATGATCATGCACGCCTGACTATTTTTGGGTCCACACTGACCTTCTAGGCCGTAGACGCTCTCCACCTCTGTGTGCACCGGCACGAGGTCCGAGGCCATTGCAGCAACAAGCTTCACCGATACGATATGCAAGATCCCAGCCCCGTCGCGCTTTGTTGTGTACAGTATACTTTGAGTTTTTATGACAGCCAAAGTTCAAGAGTGAACCTGATAACGAGCAAGTCAAATCGACGACAGACGGCAGCACTCGGTGATCAACCTCTGCAGCAGTTGGCCCCGCGGGATGCTGGCTTCGCATTCTAGGCCGAAGCAGCTGGGGCTCAGCCGCCTAGGCAGTTCGTTAGCCCTGCGCTTTGGCGCTGCTACGGCGCGTCGACCCCGGGGCGCTGCCATCACAGGGCACGCCTCGGGCAGGCGCCCCCCCTACAGCTCGCCCCTCGGCATCCGCGGCTGCGCTGCGGCATGCCCCTGGCCGCAAGGCCTGACGGCGCTCCTGCCGCAGCGGCGAAGGCCGTGGGCCGGCGCCCGCTGCGCCGCATCGGGCGACGGGGGTGCGAGCGCCGCCTCGGGCGCGCCTGTCAGCACTCTGGGCTCAGCGGTGGGCGCGGCCGACGACACGGGAGAGGACTCTGAACCAGATGTAGATGATCCAGGGGGAGAGGGGCCGCATTCAACAAGCCAGCAAGCGCCCGCAGCCGAGGCCGGGGCCCGGGCGGCTGCCAGCGGCGTCTTTGACGGCGGCGATGATGCCGCGACGGCGGCGCAAGCGGGCACCCTCATGGCCGCAATATATGAAACGAGCAACGAGGGCGGTAGCGCGACGCCGATGTCCAGCGTGGATGGGTCGGACCCTGCAGACACGGTGTGCGCGCAGGCAGCAGCGGAAGCCATAGCAGCCGCCGCCGCCGCCGACGTGTCGCGGGCGACGGAGGCGCCGAACGCTGCTGATGGTGAGGCGGCAGGAATTGGTGGCGAAGCGGCGGCGGACACGGCGGCGGCAAAGGCAGCAGAGGGGGACGCGATGGCCCGAAGCGGCCGAGGCGGCGAGCCGCCAGGGGCGTCTGAACCATCAGCACCGGCAGCCACGGCAACCGAGGCGCCTAGAAGCGGCAGCGGTGACAGCAGCGGCAGCGGTGACAGCAGCGGCAGCGGTGACAGCAGCAGCAGCAGCAGCGGCGGCGACGGCGTCGGCGAAGCGGGCGCTTATGGGAGGCTCCTGCAGGGCGGCGAGGAGTTCGGCGGGGGAGACGCGGTCGCGGCGGCCCCAGGTGGCAGCGGCGCGGCGCCGTCGGGCGGCAGCGGCGCGGCGCCGTCGGGCGGCAGCGCCGCCGCCCAGAAGACGTGGCACATGGGCGCCGTGCCGCCTCATTGGTGGGAGGACGTGCAGAAGGCGGCGGTCAAGTGGGGGCTGGTGGGCGCGGTCGCCCTGTTCGTGCTGCCGGCGGCGCTGAGCGTGGGGCGGCCAAAGCGCGGCGCTTCTGCGTACAGCGGGTGAGTGCCGGCAGGACCCGGATGCGGTCGCTGTGCTTTTTCGGACGCTGCCTGCTGCAGTGCAGCGTATCAGCCACGCATGACGTATCCGCCTGCTCTGGTGCGTGCATGGGCGCCGAGCCGTCGCGACGACTCGGATACGGAGGTGCGTCCGCATGAGGGGGGCGTTGTCCCGCTTCGCATGGCGGCTGCGCCGCCATGCGACCGCCGCACCCACGCCCCGCCGGCGCCCCCAGGTGGAACTATACACTGACGAGCACCTCGGCCGAGGCCGCGCGCGAGGCGGCGCTCTGGAGCGCCGGCGGCGGCGGCGCGGCGGGGCAGGACGGGATCCTGGAGGGGTTCCAGGACTGGCTGATCGGCAGGTGGGGGGTTGTGGTTGTGTAGGCGCATGCGTATGTGCTCGTGTATGTGTGGACGTGTGTTTTCGGGAGGGAGGGCCAGCCTCAGCCAAGGGGAGGGCGAAGCCTTGGAGGGCTTCCAGGACGGGCTTGTTGGCAGATGGTGTGTTTACGTTTGGTTGTGGTTGTCGTGGTGGTGTGCGCATGCGGGTGGCGTGCGCACGCGCATGCTGATGCACGGGCATGTGTGTGCGCGTGCATGCGTGCGTGCTTGCGCGTGTGTGTCAGCAGAGAAGGGGGGCGCGGCGGAGAGGCGCGGGAACCAACGGCGCGGCTTTGTCATCTGTCAGGCGGGTGACGTGAGCGGCACGTGCTGATCCAGCCACCATCTGCTTCTGGGGCTCCTTGACCCCCAACCCAGCCCCCCCCCCTTACTCACCGTTCCTGCCATGCCGTCCTCCCTCATATCCAACCCCTCCTTGAC